GTGTGTATATCCACCACTCTTTCACTCTCTCTGTATGACCGTCCTGTGTGTGTGTGTGTGTATGTATATATATATATATATATAATCCGCCTCTCTCACTCTGTTCCTCCACTGTATGACCGTCCTGTGTGTATATCCCCAACAGCTGCTGGAACAGCTCAAGCTGGAGCGGGACATCAACATGCGGCTCAAGCAGTACGTCGACCGCATCATCATCACCATCCTGGAGAAAAACCCCTCGCTGCTCGAGATCACCAACAGTCGCTGATGGAAGTGTGGTTCTTGAACACCACTTTGCATCATCTTCTCACCCCGTCGATTGCCTACACTCCTCCTGTATTGGCGTGTGGGTTTTTTCCCCCACGTGTGCTTGCTGATCTCGTCTTTGTCCTGTGGCGTAGCCTCCTGTCTCATGTAAAGTTCTCTTTCTGTTGTTTGTTGCTGGCTGTAGAGAGATCTGTGGTGTAATGGTAAGGCTCTTTGCTGTTGCATGCAGAAGATTCGAGTTCAATTCCCTTTTGGGGATTATTTTAAAGAGTATCTCTGTTGGTACAATGGGATGTTGTATCCCAGTCAACCAGGGGTGGCCCTGACAAACAGGGTTGAAGCAACGCCTCTCTTATGTTTCAAATTGTGTTAGTGAGGGCAGAAAACATTTACAACCATGCCATAAAAAACTCATCCAATGACCTTTGTCTTTAAAATAGATATCAAGGTTTTTTGGACACATTATCTTTTGTCCAGCATAGTTTAGTATGTGCCTTCCTCTCTTTTGCTGAAATATGCATATCCTTTGTCCTCTGGGGAGGGGTAGGAGGGAAGGGGGGGTTATTGTCCTAACTCTGTGGTGTTTGTTTTGTTCCTTGGTCCAGTTTCTGTCCATCAATGTGTCAGTTGTTGCTGATAGAGATTGTTGATCTATATTCTACCGCCTAAACTCTGTGCATTCCACAATACCTTGTAATATGCACCAAATTACCTTATATTGTTTTGATGCCAAACAGAAAATGCCCTCTATTTTTTTGTGATCTCTGGACACTATTTTAGTTGGTTTTATTTTCAGAAAACTTGCTATATGTTTCATAAATCTCTTTGTGGAGAGAAAGGGGGAGGGAGAATGGTGTCTATTTCAGATGTTGCTTTATTTCATGTTTTTTAGATGTACGAAGGTGTATGCAGAAAAATGAGCAAATCGTCCTGTCTTGACGTATGTCAGCAGATGCCAGTTATTGTAAACGTTTTTATGATTACAAGGCCAATGTTAAGTGAACCTTTTGATGATCTGGTCTTTGGTTCTGTCAGTGTGCATATCTATGTGAAAGCATGTTATCCATGCATACGTGTAATTGTGTTAATCACGAGAGCGATATCTGTAACTGATACTAAAAAGAGAATGTTTATGTTTAGCAGATTTTATGATGTGGTACCATCATGGGATGGGGAGAGCTACTTTGTACATGGGGGAAGGGGCGCATGAAGATCTGCAGAGCAGGGCATGGACTGGCTATGGAAACAGTCATATTGTTTGTGGATAGGAGGGTGTGTTTTTTATATGACACATGTAAGCAAAATGTGTGGGGGGGGGGGAAAGTGCTGTGA